GCATACTGCGCAGGACGACGGGCATGTTTCTTCTGCTTGTGCTTTAAGTGATGCGTTGAGACAATATGGATTAACCAGGAAGGCTTTAGACCTGTAAGCACAACTAATGTAAATCTAAAATCTAATATAATGCAAGCCAAAACGAAATATGCTTACGGATCTGCATTATCAGCTGCATCTGCACCAAATGGGGCAAAAACAGCAGTGCAAATGATTGTATCCTTATCTTTGCAAGCAGATGGAGGTGGTACAGGACGAGCAGGAGCGGTGCTAGATTTACATTCAGTAATAGGGGTACCTCCTGAGTGAATTCGTTGAAGAAGATTCAACAAAATAAACACAGACAACATTTTTCAGCAAACTGCTTTTAGCATTTGGCAAATGCGGTATTTATTTACCACCATTTAGCCCGAACGATTCTAAAAATTGCCAAGAGTGTGCATAAGTTAGTTCAGGTGTTTTTCATAAAATCGCCATTATTCTCACTTAATTTTTTTGCTTTTATTTCAAATAATATCTACTAATCCTATTAATAAAATTCAGATAAACAACTAATTTTTGCAAAAAATAGATCCATTCATTTTTTTTTTCATTATTTTATTTTCACTATGCAATTTTTTCTCAATCGGTTGGTTTTAACGATATAAACGACATCCTAAAATATCCTAAAATCGCTCATTTCTGTGGACGAAAATTAGCTGTCATAAAACTTCTTCCCTATAACCTGGTTTTTCTCTCAGATATGTAATATTAAAAGATATTTAATATTAATATTAAAAGAAATTCTCCACTGAATTAATTTAAATTAATTATCCACAATTAATTTCTTTATCACTCATTTCCAGTATATCATTAAATATTTTATGTTTAATTTATGTTTATAAACCATATTATCACTAGTTTTATTAAATTATTACTTATGCATAATAATAATAATTTTCATAATAATGTATAATAATAATAATAGTTTTATCAAATTATTACTTGTGCATAATAATAATAATTTTTCATTTAATAAATTTTATTAAAATTAACTTTTGCTAAATTTTTTTTTAAATTTTCTAAAAATTTGCATAGGATTTTTCATTAAATTTGGTTAGCATTCAAGTTTCATCAAGTTTGCTCCACGCGATATAGAATTTTGCCGAGGACTTAGTTTGTTTAGTGAGGTAGAAATAATTCACCAATGCCACTCGGGTTTTATTAATTATAAGTAGAGAATTCGCTCCCAAAACGGATGTTTAAAACGATTTTCTACTCACCCATCTATCATGCTTGCCATTTTTGCCTGTTTCTTTCTGATTCATTGCTCACCATCTAATTTCTAGTAACTTTGGACTCTGCTTTTCTCGTTTGATACCATCCATAATACCGTT